GGCATGCAGAAATTACCCTAATTTAGCTAAGCCCATTACTAAAGCAATTTACTTACTTCAGAAACACTTGTTAAATCAGTTTAATCTGATCTGTGAATTTGCTTTGTTTCTATATCACACTGAAATTGTAAGGGCCTTAACTCCACTGCAAAAGCAGCAGCACTGCCTCCTAATGAAACGGCTTACGGGCAGACTTGGTGAAACCGGTGCCATTTCTCTGCCCGCATGCACCTGGGAACGGGGCACTTCGCCCTGCTGCCTCCAAGACGAACCATTTCCGTTAAATTCCGCCCTCCGTCGCTGTCGTGCTCGCAGGTTGAGCAGGCAGAGGTAGAATCTCGCTTTGGCGGGGGGCAATGGGGGATGGGGATGCAAAACCGAAGGAGATCTTTCCCTTCTAAAAACTGCACGACCATGTACGAAATGGTTCGTGATGAGGACAGAACAGTACATGTACCTTAATAGTTAATTTTAATTTTCCTACAAATGGTTTTAAAGCATCTGTCCATTTTCTTGACAGAAGTCTGAGACATATAACAAACGACCGGTGGCTCCAAATTAAATCCTGGACCCGTGTTTTTTGCCCGTGTCACAACCTCCTGGCTGTATTCTACCCCCACAACAGGTGAACAGAATCTTCACGACTTTTCGTAGGGCAAATCTGCTTACAGCAAATTTGATTTTGAATCCCAGCTTCAAAACGAGCCTCGTTCTTGTGTAACACTTTGCAGGGCACTGCTTTTTGTATGCTGAGCTGAACTTGTTCATCTCAGTATGAAAGGTTAGGAGACACTGGCCACGTTATTCAAAATCCAAGAGCCTGGGGGAGCCTAAACGACACGGGATGGATCTTCCTTCGGAAGCCACCCGTGTGTCAGCTAGGCTGGGCCGGGGAGAGGAAGCCTCGCGTGCTGCTCCTACCTTGGTGGTCTAATTCTGTCCTGGTCTGAACGCACCAGCCCTTTGCGGTCAACAGGCTGTCTTGGCTCCGCGCGCCAAGCGCGAGATGCTTCCGTGCTGCGTCCCTCTGCCAATCCTACTGGCTTGAGCCACGCGCCTGGCGTTGAAACGGTGCCAGCCCCACACGCACTCCTGCACTCTGGTCTTCCAGACGTCAGCTCTGCCCCTAGCAGCTGGGGGAAGAAGCTGACTGTCCCCGTCAGAGCTGCAGAATGTCCATTCCCCATCTGCAAGAGAAATTTAAAACTACAAAATACAAAACAGGTGAATATTTTTTTCTGACAATATTTATTCGAATACAAGAGTGAATTTTCATGTAACGCCGATCAGACTTTTCAGTGTTCACTCTGACGGATACTTGAGTACTTGAATGTCACAAGTTTTTTAATATTGACAGAAAGTGACTTTGGAGCTTGACAGATACTCACAGAAAGCATCTGGGTGTCGAACTGCCTTTCTCAGTTACATCCATTACCAGTTACAGATGCCACCTAAGTAGAAAGCAAAGCCAACTACAATGGGACTTAGTGTTCATGGGTATTCACAGCGTAATATTGCCGATCAGTTTGAAGACCACAATTTATCACAAGAAAAAAATCTTTCCATCATTTTTAGGCCTTGGGCCATTTGCAAATTTTCCAGCCTGCTCCCAGGTGCATTGCCAACAGGGCAAATCGGCTGCAGTGCGGTGAATACACAGCTCCTTGCACGTTACTGATGCCGTGCTATTCGGATGTGAACTCTTGCAGAGTTACTGTGCAAGTTTCCACCCTCACCAAAGCAAGAGCAAAGCATCTGCTCACTGATGATGCGAGTTCCTGAAGGCTCCTGTTTATGGTTGGATGTGGCTTCTCTCTTTTGTAAAAGGAATTTAATACGCTGAGACTCTTTGTACATATTTATAATGACTTTATTAAAAAAAGAAAAATAACTGTTGAATGGTGAAAAGGCTCTGTTTTTTATTTCTTCTCTGATATTTGAGAGAATAATTTCTTTCCACAACCCTAACTGTTTTCCTATGGAAAGCAACAGAAGTTTGCCATCAGCTGTTGTTAGAATTGACATTTCCCCTCTGTGTTTTCTGGTCCAAATGCCATGTTCTGGGAGAGGGTGGCACCGTCCTGCCTCACAAAACCTTCGCCGTCCCATCCCTGAGGAGGGAGGTTTGACAGACTGCTGACAGCACAGCGCTGCTTCTTCCACAGGATAGGGACTGAAGGATACTGGTTTAGCTTAACAGCTATAAAATACTGGCCTGTGGCAAGTTCTTTTACCCTGATCTTTGTTACGCTTCCAGTAGAATAAATATCGACAGCATAGAATGTCACCTTCTATTTAGCACTGGTTAATTTTAACAGAGAAGTGGAGCACTGGATGGCCCGCTGAGTCTCGGGCACCCACAGCCTCTCAGATACAGGCTCATCCCGTAACGAAGGTCTCCCGTACTGATCCCAGCGCTGCACTGTGTCCCTGAGCTACGTGAGCGGCCACAGAAGCCTTCTTTCTCAGAGGTTACCCCCGCAGCACCTTCCCTGGGTTTCTGTTCAGCCGAAGGGGAACTGCAGTGGGTTACCTGCACGCAGCGTCGGGTGCCGCTGAAGCACATCACCGGGCTTCTCTACAGGACCAGAACGCTGCCTTAGAAGAGTGAGGGAAAGCAAAAGTCAAGAAGGGATCACTGAGATGAAGCAAAAGAAAAAGGAATCATTAGAAGTTCTTTAGAAATTCAAATTAGGAAATTCTGATGCTGGTGCAGGGGTTCTTACATGAGCACCAAAACCACCCAAGGTACAATTCCTCCACAGACTCCTGGTATGGAGCTGTGCTATGTGATCCTTCTGAGTCCTTGGGTGTAGCAAAGTGTTTTAAGTATATGATGACGATATCCCCCTCTTTCTTACACTGACAACTGGGAAAGATCATTCAGTAAAGGGAAAAAAATGTAAAGAAAAAGGAGGACAAAAAAAATTCCCCCTACTTCCCCTCTGATTGCTTGCCTTCCTTACCACCAAATGAAAAACAGTAATTTTGAAACAGTGTGGCAAATGCTGTCTGTGGCATTAGGCTCACCTCGACCTCTTCATACACTTCTCCAGATACATTTTCCAGGAGCATTTAGAAAAAAAATCAGAAGTGGCTTTTCAAACATTTTGAAAGCAGATACCTCCAACCCTCTAATTAATTGGCATTGCACTGAAACCTTTCAGAGATTGCCTGCCCACAGAAGCAGTGATTTTTCCTTGTCCTGGTGAATGGTACCAGACTATCATACACAACAATATTTTTATGCCCACTGAAAACCTTGCCTCCTGCACTGGATTCCTTGGCTTGGTTCTCCACTCTGATGGGATCCATTTGACAGGAATCAAATCACTTCATTTGGGATAGCAAAGCTTTTCCTTGTCTGCTTCCCTGTGTCTCCCAAGCCAGCTTTGGACTATCTTCCCTGCTCAGGCTCTGCCTCTCATCATTTCTCCTCTAGCCAACTATTACTTCCAAAGAAATGTTGAGCCTTAATCCTGTTACCACGAGCTCGTGTTTGCTTTAATTCTTCTCCCCGTGGAGTTTCGCAGCAGGAGGGGAAGGCGGCTGCTAGTACATACACACAGGCTCATTTCCCCCAGGTACAGTTCTTCCTGATTATCCACTTAAGTGGGATTGTAACCTTACGGCCATTTCCATAGTAATGAGCGTGGAAGATGCCACGATTGCCTAATGAGGCACTTTCTCCGGGTGTGCAGCAAAAAGCAGAGGTTGTTTAGTGAAAGAGAAGGCTCCAGTGAACAGACAGCTACTCCATTTGCATGCACGTGCCACTGCACCACCCTAGACGTTCTGCGTGGCTGCGGAGACGGAAACTGCAGCAGTACAAAGTATGATAATTCTCCTTTTTCTGAAGCGGAGGTGTTACAGTGAGTCTCCAGTAGCACCAGTGGATAATCCAGCCTGTGCATAAACCAGGCTGGCTCCCGAAGCCACGCAGCTGCCTCTGTGTAACTCTGCCCTCGAGCTGGTAAATCTCACCGAAGCCGGTCGCTCCGGGGGCCCCGTATCCTGCTGCCCCAGCAGCTCTGGTACCAGCGGTGCTGCACGGGCTCGGCGCTGTGCGAGCATGTTTGTTCTGGGTTTGGACTCAGGCAGGTTGTGGATGCTGAGTGGCACTGGGTTTAGAGCCAGTGAGCCCTCCCCACAGCGGCTGTGCTGAGGGGCGGGTTGCAGAGACACCGGAATTTGTGAGACGCTCTTGGTTGGGACCTCAGCTTCTCACCTAGTCAAACCAAACCTGACTTGAACCTCTCCTTGCCTCCCACTGTTCTCCCCATATGCTAGGAAATCAGAAAGTCTGATCACGAACATTAAAGAGGAGAAACATTCCCAAGAAAAGCAAGTGTCGTGTCCAGCTTCACTAGCGTGGTCTTTCCCAAGTTCCGTGAGATTTTAAGATGGCAACATGTGCAATCTGTGGAATCAACTGCAAAATCACTGCTGCTGGGGAATGGCGTTTCTCCAACCCCAAACAAACATTGGGCGCGTGGGTCTGAAGCAGTGTTTTGGAAGACTTCTCAAAGGTAGTATAACAGCAACAGTGTAATACTCTGAAGTTACAGATTCAGGGAAGCTAGGGCGTTTACTGTGAAAAATCTCACCAGCAGTCTGAGCCAGACAGGACAGCGTTTTTCCCATATACCAGGTTATACACATGCAATTGACAGTACCCTTTCCTTATACACACAGTATTTATCTATACTAAAAGGACAGGACAAAAGGAAACATCCCAGGCAGTTTATAGCCAAGAAAATATCTTGGCTGTAGCTTAGCCATGGAGTTTGCCGTAACATAAAACACATCTTTCTTGCCTTTGAGGATAAAGTTTCTGCCTAGTAACAATTGCTGTTCTGTCGGCTCCTGGAGGAACAGAGCTGGAAGAAAGACGAAGACAACAAATTCACAGGCAACTGAAGAGGGGCATGGGACCACCAGATTTTCCAGCTGCTGTTTCTTTCCGCACATGTTATTCCGTTTGTCGGTATCTGTTGCTTTTAATACACCTGGAAGTGAGCAGAGGTGGTGCCGTCTTTCCAGCAACGCAGGGTTTCTACTGTGACAGAACGACAAAGAGGACAGGTTTTCTCCCTGTCAAACCAGAGGCAGAGGCATTCTTCACAAAACACGTGCTGTGGAGACAAAAGGGCATTGTCAACACAGGGGCAGGAGGTCCAGCCTTGTGTGGACTCGTGCACACTCAGTAGGAGAGCGATGGGAGCAAGGCAGGATTCAAGCTCAGGTGGACAGTGCAGCTGAGTAGCAGTACTCCATGACACGAAAAATAAATCCCAGCATTACTAGTACCTCAGTTTGCCAAAGCTAATGATACATGACTCTGTTTCTTAATATAGCAATAGAAAGAAACATTAAAAAGAGGTTTTCTCTACCCTGTTTCCACCCTTGATTCCCTGGGTTATTTTACAAGTCTTTACTTAGCTCAAACAACCCCTTTTCTTCCCCCTATTCCTTACTGTATTTGTTTTTTTCTGCTCACACCGCCCAGCCCTAGTCAGCAGCTTCGCAGTCCGTGTTCCCCCTTCTCTGTAACTATCAGTTTTCACCCCTTATCTTCTCCTTGCATTCCTACAACGAGCCACAATCAGATTCTCCCTCCAGACTGGCTTGGGTACTAACAGAGGTCAGGAGGGACGGCGGCCCAGCACACCGCCCCATCAATCCCATGCTGGAAGAGCAGGAGGGCAAGAAGGGAGCATTAGAAGCTGTAAGAAGCCGAGACCTCAACACATGTGGAGTCAGCAGAAATGTTACTCATCAAAATCTTAGTGCTGATAAGCACATACAAAGATAGCCTCTCTGCAGCTTACAGCATGATAACATCTGCACAGATGTTCACAGGAATAGCGAGAGACACTTCTCATGCACAGGTGACCTACTTACTTGAATTTGATAACCCTGTTACAAAGCATGGGAATGCTACAGCTCTTCAGAAAAAAGCTCTCGAGCTTTATTTAGAGATCACAAGAGAGCATATATCCCACCAATTCCATTCCCAGAAACGGCTCAGTCATTCTGCCAAAAGCTTTCCTGCATGAACCCACACATCAGCCAGAGACAGCCTCCGGGATGCAGAATTTCAACTCCAACAGCCAAAGCTTGACCAAGTTGTAGGCAACTGAAGAGAAAATCTCAGGGAAGCATCACTGGTCTTGCCACGAGGCAGTGCCTTCAGCTGGCCTCTGATACATTAACAGAACCCATGGCAATACGGTGTGTTGGAAGGGTTTTGCCAGCACCAGATCAGGACTCCCGCATTACTCCGAGCATGCCATTCTTAAGCTCTAGCTTTTGCCAGTGTTTACCAAATGAGAAACAAAACAATTCCCAGGTGCTGGCAACAGTGACCAACTTCTATATGCAGAACTACTTTTATTCCCAGCCAGGTGTTCAGAGGCCAGACCACAATGACATGGTGCTGCACCAGCCTTCGTGTGTCCTGCCAGGCTTGTTCTGGATCTATGCCCCTCTCATAGCACTTGCTTGTAGTTCGGTCAGCCGGTTGACTAGCCAGTCTCCCCAAGGGTCAGATGAAATTCTAGATCCAAGGTCTGGACTGCCAACTGGCAGTCGCTGGACTACAAGACTGGTCTTTTCCATCTCAGTGATCAGCCCCTAAAACGTGGCTCAGCTATCACCAATCACTGGCTACCTGGAAGAGGGCAATAAACATCCACCAGGATCTAGATGAAGACCCAGCAAATGGTTTTAGCGGTACTCAGGCTGACTGTGCTCCTCCCCAGCTGCAGGAGGCAGCTAAATGAATGCCAGCGGGGAGCCTGACGTGGGAAGCGTGGGGTCTTACCTGGCACATAAGGATCAAAGGTTCCCTGAACTCTGCTTGGCAGATGGCACAGATATCACCTGCCTCGCTGCACTGCTGGCTGGTAGCACGAACTCCGTAGGTCTGTTAGGGAGAGATGGAGAAAAACCCCAGCGTCAAAGGGTTTGAAGATGACCTGGTTTGTGGCTAAGCATATCCATCAGACACTGTTTCTCACACTCAGATTCCCCGCATGACCTGGGAAGGACACCAGTGTTATGTCACTGTGTATGGGGAAGGGAGACTTGGGCACCAGCGCACAGAACACAGGGAGTCTGAAGCTCTGTGTTCTCTGTTTTGTTTTCCCCTCGAGCTGGCTCCATCTTTTAGTGCCTCCACTTATGGAGCAATGATAATGAAATTTAATGAGCTCAACAGGGAGCTGAAAGGATTAATTCAGCATCATTTGCAGAGGTGTTTAGATAGTGGGAGGTATTATTATTAGCAAGTTAGACAATAGAAGAAAGAATAACAGCAGCAGCACCCACAGGCTTCACACTTTTCTTTTTAAATATGTGAAAGGTAAATGTTGCTTCTATTGTAACAGTAATAGGGGAAATGGAAACATGCTGAGGAAAAATGACCGGCCCAAGCCCACAGAATAAGCAAGGCAAGCTCTAACAAACTTCTGTGATGTGATGTTCCTTTCCTCTACAGTCTTTCATTTTACCATTTTAAAATATAAGTCACAGTATTTCACGGCAACAGATTGAAGTATCAGTACTGTCTAATGCGATGCCCAGGATAATTTCTGTCCACTGTAGGATCTCCTTTATGTCACTGCACATCAGGCACTGCGTACTTCCATTTGAAGTCTTTCTCACGCTCTGCACTACAAAGTTTTGTAAGCTTCTTGCAGTTCTGACCTCAGTGGATTAATCCATGTTACACAGGGCTTCCAATCAGGCAAAACAGGCCAGACTAGCAACAATCCCTTACCATAGCTGGGACAGGGCAGATCCCAGAAAAGGTTCCTAACATCCCTGACCAGAGATACCAGCTTATCCAGCCATGGGACAACAAATTATTCTATTCTATGATCCTGATACTCGGAGCAACTTTCAACTCCATCATTCAATAGTTACAAGGTTCCACCTATGAAACTGCTCTAATATGTATGACTACTTACCTGTGGGGTGCAAAGGACCTTCAGTGCCTTCCGGACACTTCCCACACGACCACAGATGTCAAAAGACTGCAATAAAGACATTCCATTTTAGACACTTCTCACAAAATGTGTGTGAGTGTATGTGTGTGCGTGTGTCTGTGCACAATCCAGAAACTCAGGAAACTGTCTCCAAACAGATATACTCGTAAGGAACAAAGATCCTAAGCAACAATAGTGCCAAAAAATATTTCATGGTGACCATGACATACGTAATAAATGTGAACTGACAGTGTGGGAGGGTAGCCATAAAAGCTCTGGTAACTATGGACTGCAAATCAGGGACTTTACAGGACAGAAAAAGGAAGAGACACCAGGGGGTTGTGGTAGGGTAAATTGCCCAGCCCTGCGAAGTAGGAAAGGACTAAAATGGCCCCATTTCCACTCTGCGAACTGACTACCTGAAAAGCCCAGAAATGAGGTTAGAAAACACTGCGGCTTGAGAGAGAGAAGAAGGAAGGGCAGTCTTTTCACATGGAAGAGGCAGAAAACAGCTTTCCTCCGGCTCTGGGCAAAAGGGGGATTTCCAGGGCTGTGCGGCTCTGCCATGCAGCTTGATGCTTCAGGGCCCAGGTGAGATTATGAAGGAAGGAGGTGGAATTGCCTGTCCTGCTGCAGAGGGTGATTTAGCACAGCGCAGTGATTAAATGCTACCAAGAGAAGAACGGCCTGAGGAACGAGAAGCAGGACTGAGGCTGAGTTGCTCCCATCCACTTAAAGAGAGAGAAACTTCAAATCCCAGGAAGGGAGTGCGTTTCCAGCACCTTGGTACTTTGCAGATGCCCAAAGATGGCCAAGAGCAGGGGCAACACCAGGTCCTTCCCTACCCCCTCCATTGCCCAGCAAACATGATGTAACTGCATCTGGAGAGCAGTGCTCGTACTGGGCTCCTCATTAAAGACTAAAAGCAGTTCAGAGAAGGGCAGAAAATGAGCCTGCAGAAAATGATTTCTGTAAAGAGACTAAAATACATAAATATTTACAGCTTGGCTGAGCAGTACAAAAGTAGGGGGGAAAAAGGATAAAATGCTTAGAAATATCAAGGGGCTGAGCAAGACAGGAGAACACTCAGCATTCTTAAAGTGAAGACACGGTACTACTGATAAAAGGGAAAACAGATTGAAAATCTAATCCGGCATGCTAGCTTCGTGTTCCCTAACTGCTGGCAGAACACAGGGAAAAAGAGACTATGAACTAGACAGGGTATGAAGAAATGATTGTGTGAAGAACAGCCCTGCATTAGTCGGGAGAAGGGCCAGATGACATAACAGGACCTTTCCATTTCTAACCCGTCTGAGTGAGGGCAGGGGAAGATGCAATGCAGAATACACACAGCTGTAGTGGACTAGCAGTACAAAGGCACCAGAATGCCTGGAGTTGGCTTTCTATTTTTTTTTGGTTAGCATGATTAAGTGGGCTCACTGCAGGGAATGCCAATGAGATCATCGTGCAATAGATATGGAATCAAATGAAGGCACCAATAATGCTTCCAGTCAGCACGTAAAGAGGCTCCCAGGGTCCTTCCAGTAATGCTTCCAGTCAGTAACGAGCACTTGAGGCTGCCGACTACTACAGACTTTTTATCTTCTGACAAGGATAGGGATCAGCTCTTTCCCACAGTCCAATTCACAGCTTTTTCTGTGTGCTTTGCTTAGGGCCTGACTTCTAATGCCCTTGCTCTGGCTCTGACATCTCCTCTTCTCCCAGTTCATTTCCCCCCTTCAGTTTTTTTTCCTCTGGACTTTCCTGTACCCCCAAAAGATGCATGTTTCAGTAGTGTCTTTAACATCCACTTAACAGCCCATGCACTGAAGTCTGTGTTGCATCAGCCATCTTTCTAGCAATAGGATTGCAATAATTGGGTTCACAGCCAGTGAGCGCTTCTGTTCAGGATAGTAAAAAAATGAGACCTGGATGCCCTAACTAATGAACATCTGGGATTTCCTTGCCAAAATCAGAGATTCACGTTTACACAGTCCAAACGGAGACACCAAGACAGCTCCCATCAGCTGCACTACACACAACCGTCTGGGAAAGGGGACGCAGCCCTAGCTGAGCCCTGGACTTCGGCCAGGAGCACAGAAAGTCTGAGTGCCAAATTGGCTTCTGCAGTTTTTCTAATGTGGTTTGTGGCTTCGATAATGTGGACTCCTTTGGGTATATTTTCAGTGTCTCAGGCAAGGAATTAGACCTGCAACTCTTGTAAACGGGATGCACGCACCTAGGATTTCATGATCTGCATTGGAAGAGTGTGCTCCCACTTTTCTTCCACTTCCAAGCAAGGTCTTTAGCGTGCAGAGGTCTAATCCTAACCTGGACACATCTGTGGTACTAAGTAGTTGCCACACAATGACCTGGGACATGTTCCTGGACCTATCACCCTTCAGCTGGACTATCCATCCATTTACACCTCTGACAAACTAGACAAATTAAAGGAAGAAACATCCATGTTACAGGCATAGGCTGTTGCCAAGGCACTTTCGCACAAGTGTGCCCCACTGTCTTGGTCCTACGTTCTAGTCAAGGCCAGTAAATAGCTGTCCTTGTCTCCTCATGGAGCTTCTAAATAACAGATCAGCAGAACTTTTCAAAATGCTTTTCCTATCTAGAGTATCACACCACCACCTGTAAAGGCTTCCCAGTGGAAAAACATAGCTAGCCCATACAGAACTGCTTGCACCTATGTGTCAGGGCCCTGAGTGCATTAATAGGCCTTCATGGCCCTGACTGGCCTCACCTGGGGTCTCCACCCCCCCCCCCTCCCTGCCCAGCCAGGAGCTCTATTTAAGCTCAGCCCTGGAGGCCTCAGGTCATATCTGAGCTGTGCAGGTGCTGATTTCTAGCTCAGCCATGCCTGTGCCTAGCCATAGATCCCACTGATGTGGACACTCCAGCATGGGGAGTAACTGCCCACCCTGACCTTGATCTGGCCTCGTCACTATGGCTGTGCCTTGCAATTGTTGGACTGTGTCTGATTCTGGCTGCCTCCACTAGACCTGATCCTGACCTCTGGACTGATGTTCTGGCTTTATCTTGGACCTGTCTTGCCACCTGAAGATCCTGACCCTTTGAACCTGGCTATCACCTCCAGGCCTGCCCTGCTTGCCTTGTCTGGGTGCTGTGGGCCTGGGCCCTGGCTGGTGAGGCCCTTGCCATGCCAACTGTGTTGCTGTGCTTGGCTCCCCTTTCTCCAAGGAGCAGATGGCCCCCCACTGTTTCTTCACACTGTGATGACTTCTCCAGATGTAAGAAATGGCATGTAGAACTGCAGGTAAGCATCCCTCCTCCAGGCGCTGAGTAACTTTTGGAAGATGGGACACCAGAAAGATCACTTGAAATCTGTCCTTGTAACTGTGATCTGTATACCTGACCTCACAAGCCAGAAGGCCATGGAGGAGTTGGATACTGTTGTCTAGAGGGGATCCAGACAATGGTATCTTTGAAAAGGGCAACAATCCTCTTCCACAGCCCAGAGTAAACAGCAGGAAACATACAGCTGAGAGAATGGATGGTGTGCAGTGAACTACATTTGTCTCATATGCCTTCTGTTCTGGCGCTGCTGTGACCAAGTCACTTCACTTCCCCTGACCTCTGCCTATCTTGCCTGCACAAACTGTAAAGACCTTGACAACAGGGGGTGCATTGCCCCACTCCTATACAACATAGAGCTGCAGCCAAATCTCATGTAAGAGCTGTAGTACGATTCTGTATTGCTCAGCAATCCACTAGCCCCTTTGAGATGTTTTCAGCTCAGATAGATTCTCTCTTCTCTGTTCTTCCATCTGCTGCTGCAAAGCCATAGCCCCTTTCTCCTAGGCAGAGACAAGCACCAGGGCTGCAGCAAGCCTGACTCACTTGGCTGTTCTCAGAGGGATGGATAACAGAGGTGTATCACTGTTTTCTCCAGCTACTGCTCTGCCCCTAGGCAGGGTTCAATACATGCAACTAGAAATAGAGCTATTTCTAGACCTCTGACTTGAGACTCTAAGTCACACCTATTCATTTACGAGTGCACAGGCAGACTTTGTGCTCTTAACATTCTTATTCTGGAGGAAACATTAATTACTCTCGCCCATCACTAAGATCCTGGACTTGTATCAGCCAGACCAGGATCTAGAACGGGGCCAGAACTACCTGTGTTATCTAGGCAGGATTTGGATGACCCTCTCTCCCTGCTGCATTCAGCACTGTGAGTGACAGAGTACCTACCCTGGCTAGCAAGACAGAGGAAGGCTTAGAGAGAAACATTTAACTGTCTGCAACCTTATTCTCGGTGTTGCATCTAGCAGTCTGGAGACAGCTAACCTCTCTTCCAGCACTGGTTCCCCAAGACTGCACTCCCATTCTCCTCTAGTCTTTACAGAAAGGTATTAGAAAACAGCAATGACTTCATCAGCCTGATGCAACACTACATGAGCAGTCACAGATCTTCCTTTAGCTCATCAATTCTCACATACTGGTGAAGCAAAATGCTTTTGGCAACTAAAGCACATGGTGTCCCCAGCTGCTGCAACTTCCCTTCTTGGGCAGTGATAGCAACAAGCAAAAGGTGAATTTGTTCCCCTCAGCTGGGCTGCTTTCTCTGCTCTTGCTACAGCTCCCACAGAGGTTATTAAGGTGGTACTTGCCTTGCAGAGGCTATACAGGATGATCAGGATCCCACCTAGGAAGTAGCTGCTGGATGGATCATCTCCCATGATGTATTTATACCATAACTGGATGGGGACAAGGGAGCGGAACAGCTGGCTCAGCTCCTCAATAACCAGATAAAACTTTCCCTGGAAAACAAAGAAGTGATGCATGATTAGTATCAGGAAGCCAAAAGAAGAGCACTTAGCAGGTACAGGACTTGAAGCTTATAGGACTTGTGTTCACTGTCCACCTACGAACTCTCTGAAATGGTGCAAAGACCAGTATTCCGGAGATGCAGCTTGCTTTGCAGCCATTTAACTTGGTGCCTAGAAAGCATAACTATCACTTTGCTGTTTCTTAGAGTTCCTCTTGCTCTGTCATTTATCCAGCTATTTTACACTTTTGAATCTTAAACTTCTAGAACAGGTTATGCATAAACACCTTATTGCATATCTGTGCAATGCTACAGAACATGAGCAGCAGAGGTTAAGGCTTACAGGGACGAACACAATGTAAATTGTAGATACCACTAATGAGAAAAGGAATGAAGGGTGTCTTTGATTCTATACCCCCTTCTGAAGGGACAAAGATTTACATGTGACACTGGTCTTCCTGACTCTAATCATCCCAAAGAATCAAGCTAACTACCTATTTGCCAGCATCCTTCCTGTTCTACTCCGGTGTGTTGGATCTTGTACAGTACACAGATAAAAAGACTGGCTCTGACAAAACCTTCAAGGCATTTTAAACTCAGAGATACCAAACCTTCCTGAGGACCTTAAGGAAGAAAAGGTGGGAAGGGAGGAAGCATGCTGGTTGAAACACATCTCTCTCAAAAGAGACTCAGAGTGGGCAATGTCCTTTGTAAACCTTCCTTGCCACTCTGGTGTTTACTCCAGTTAGAAAGCTTTCTTTCCTTGAAGGACACTGGCAAGGCAACATAAACTCTCTTCTGGCTTACTACAACCATGAGGGGCAACAACTGAAATGGATTTTTCTTACCAGACAATTTCTATTTTTAAAGCACCTAAGACTAGGGCTGAGAAGCTGGCTAAATAAGGCTATCTAATTTAGGGCTCCCCAGTCTTAATGAGGATCTGTTTATGTTCTGTCCCACACAGTTTAAAAGGAAGAACTGGTGACAGGGCACTAGGTCAGGGCAAGCTGTGAGCCCAGAACTATGCTTAATCTGCAGTGACATTATCTGGGCTGAAAGTTTTGCTTTTGACATGTCAAAATTCTTTTGTTTGATAAGATCACAGAGAAGGGGATATTCCCCTGGAATTTTGCTGTGTTGTCCCAGTTAGCTCTGTCATCAGTGATGTCATCACAGGTCAATTGTTAATCGGTGAGATTTGGAGTGGGGATTAAGTCCTCCGCAGTCCATGAGGCTAGCAGCAGCTAGCACCCTTCCCTAGGGTCTCAGAGATGAGATCACTCGGCAGGCCATCCTGCTGTACGGAACAAATCGAATCCTTCAGAGAGCTCTGGCATTCTCATGATCTCATTTCCCCCCTGGGACAAGGAGTGAGGTCACACCAGCAGTTGCTAACGGACCTGGGCTGCTTTCTTCCTCTCCCCCCATCCCCTCCTCCTTGTTAATCCCAGGTGGCATCACATAGCAAAAATGTAACAGCAACAATCTGGGGTTCTAAATGCAAGCAATTTATTAAATTAGCACAGAGGTCTCTATCCAGCCTCATGCTTCAATGCAATCATCGTTTATTTCGGGAGCCCCTGTGACAGAGGGTCGCAGTCTGCTAATGACTATGCTGTCACTTCCTTCCCTTCACACAGACAGTTCTCTGCCTCCCCCTCTCTAGCCAGCTCAGATGAAAGCTATCAGCAAGCTAAAGGCAGCAAACTGCTTTCTCTGACTTGTTCCTCCAACCAGGCTCCTGCTCATCTTCTTTCATTTAGCCTTCCTTCCCTAGCAGGCTGGGCTGGGACAGGTCACCGCTTGCTTTGTCATTGCATCAGACAGAACTTCGGGATTCAGTGTTCGGGGCATCAAAGCCGAAATTATTTACATCTGAAATTTTTGAGGCACTAGAAACACCAGAGCCCACAGCAAGATGCAAGGAAAGAGGGGTCACAGGCAGCCCTAGAAGTCCAGAGAGGCCATGGAATTGGAAGTGGCAGATCATGGCTCTAAAATGAACATGCAGCAAGTGACAAACTTCAGTTTTCTAAGCTTTCATAATGCCTTTATCTAATGCAGATCTTCAATGGTAAGTGCAGAGTATCGGGGTATCTTAGCAGCTAGATGCTTGTTAACACCCTCACAAGAGTGCAGTTAAGTTTTTAATTGGTGCATCTCTCCACCACTTGACCATTTAAGGGAGGCCTGTTGATAAGCTCAGAGTGCTTAGAGCTAGGAGGAGGGAAGCAATACCAGGATAGCTGAGCATCATTAGTAGAGAACTAGTGCTACAGTAAATGCTTACAGAAATGTAAGGCTTGTCAAGCATCTCGGTCCTCAGGGCAACACACCAGTCCTTCTTTAAACTAGGAAAAGTGTCTAGAGAATAAAAAGTAATTCTACAAAGGGCTGCAGCAGAAGTGGGGTCTTCTGAGCCAGCAGCTTAGAAAACAAGGGTTGTTCCCTACAATTTCAGCAGCAAAACTTAGCCTTCTGATAGCAATAACTTATTGCAGGCGGCACCCATCACTTGTAAGCACACTCAATATACTTTTCTGTCTTCTGCTTTTCAGCTTTGTTATATCTTGGCCATCTAGGTTGAAGTTTCCAAAGCCAAATCTTTGTCTCAAGCTGTATTTCGTCTGAAAACTTCAGCTAAAGTATTTCTCCTCAATATTAGGAAGAACTGTGTGTTATATTAAGCACAAATACAATTATTTCTCCTGTGCAGCTGACTTGGAACAACAGCTTGAAATGAGGCAAGGCCTGCCTCTGTCAGGTGACTTTTCCTATTTCATAAAAACCCATGTAAATAAATTGGGGAATCTTCTCTTGAATACACTCTCTATAGAGATTGATCAGCGAAAGCTGTTTTTGGTGAGCCTGTGAGCCAGCCCCAGTGCATGACTGGACTGTGTGGGAGCAAGCATATCACCTTGCTGGTCTGCAGAGATTAAGTAGGATATTACCCAAAGTTACTGCTCCTGGTTAGGGTAGAGTCAGATACTAGGAAAGTCTCTGCTCTCATCAAGCCCTTGCAAGAGGTTGGAGTTAAGCTGAACTAAAATGTAAGTACAATGCTCACCCTGCTTCCTCCGTGGGGTCAGTTACTGTAAAAGCTGACAGTCTACTCCTGTTATCAAACGCTTCATTAGCACAAGCAGCAGAGGACTGTGCTGTGGATCTAATTATAGCAACTATACTGATGAACCTTGAGAATACCACAAGGTGAAATTTTGATTCCTTTTTTCGAATGTTTTGTCAAAAATTAAGTCAATGACTCAAGTATAATCCTCTTGTCCTCTACCTCCTTCGCCACATAGAAAGACCATTTTTATACTTTAAATCAAGCATTTATTTTGGAAGAGCAGAATTCAGGATTTTCATACAATTGCAATTTTCCTTCTGTACATGCAGTATTACACTGTCTGTAACGATGTGAACGCATGCTGTTCTTTGACAGAGGGTGAGTGGTACTCATTAAGCATGTGCCTTTAGTATTTTGTTATGCCCTCATTACTTGATGGCAGATTTGCATCCTATCACTTCCTGCTATTTGAGCTCTGCTCAGAGTAGAAAACTACTAAAATTTATTCAGTCTTTTTATGACATCACCACTACAGTAAAAGACTTAAAATAACCCCCAATTTATTTTCACTTTGCTGGCTGACATAAGGGACAGCTATTCTCTCTGCATTTTCTATATTAAAACTGGAAACACAAAGACTAAGCTTAAGGTAAGGTGGTTTTGGTGTCCAAGCTGAGATGTCTGGGATTAGACTTTTTATAAAGCACTTAATTTTATAGATTGCATTACCATTAAAAGCTAAACCACTGACTTCAGTTTGCAGCTGTACATGGCTTTTCTAGAATCACATAGGAATTATTTGGCAAAGAAAAGGATGGAATTAGATTCTCCAGTGTAGCATTCAACTTTAACTTATAGAACATTCTTCTTTTTCTAATGGTCTCTTTGTTCTCTATGCACTTTCCAGTTTCTCCAACCGCTCCTTTCAGTACCTCACCTTACTTCATCTGTGGGGCACAGTATACACTGGTGATGGACAGAAGAAGTCTTACAGAAAAATAACATGGAATCACGTAATTAAAAATTGATTCACAATATATACACACCAAAGGGGGCAAATTACAGCTGCAGAAGTGATGCTAATTCCCACACAGCCTAACCAAGCATTGACTCTGTAGTCTCTTTTGACATAAGGCTTTGCATAAGTGTGCATGTGTGCCTCCACAGAAGGAAAAAGAAAGGTATGCTAAGGTTTTACACAGCGGAATTAAAATAGGATGTAAGAGAAGTGAGAGAAGTTGCAATGAGGCAACTGTAAGTTGTGATTAGCACTCAAGGGAAGTTCCAAGTCTCACTTCTTCTCTTGCCAGCAGCGTTAGGACATATTCTAAAACAGGAAAATGCTAGAAAAAAACTGAGACCTGCTGGCAATTTGGATCAGAGGAGAACAGGCTCTGCTGAGATTTCAGGTCATATTGCCAATATAAGAAAGTGTTGGGCAGAAGCAGTAAACAGGATTATGGCACAGAGGATGCTGGTGAAAATCCATGCAAGACTAATGAGGAGTAATTCCAAGGTGAGGCTAGAGGGAAAAATGAGATGTTTAGCTAGTGCAGAGCACTTCTGAAAGTCACACCTTGGACATCGTAAACTGAGAAGGCACCTAAGAGCAATGATTCCTTTAAAAAGTTTGGTAGCAGTGACTTTCAAAGTGTGTTAAGGAGAGGACAGAAAAGAGTCCCAGTTCCTCAGTACTTAGTCTTATGCTTTACTTAGTATTTTTCTTTCCTAATTAATAATCTCACACTTATGGTGCTGGGACAATACATTTATCCCAGTTTGCAATAGGGAAAAGTCTCTGCAGGACTGTCATGTAGCTCCTGTGGCTCTAGAGGATCAAAGCTCAGACTGTTGTCCAAGAAGAGTGAATCTATTTCTGAGTGAGCTCCCCCAAATAGCATCCAGCGTCGTCAAGG